ACCATGATTTCAACAATTTCCATCCCACCATCAACCTCAGCCTGGACCAGTCCACACAAGCAGACTGGTCATTTCCTGGACACTACTGTGCTAATAAGTGATGGTCACATAAACACCACCCTATACCGGAAACCTACTGACCACTATACTAATCTACATGCCTCCAGCTTCCATCCACGATCCATTTTCTACAGCCAAGCTCTAAGATACAACTGCATTTGCTCCAATCCCTCAGACAGAGACAAACACCTACAAGATCTCTATCAAGCATTCTTAAAACTACAATACCCACCTGCTGAAGTGAAAAAAACAGATTGACAGAGCCAGAAGAGTACCCAGAAGTCACCTACTACAGGACAGGTCCAACAAAGAAAATAACAGAACGCCACTAGCCGTCACCCTCAGCCCCCAACTAAAACCTCTCCAGCGCATCATCAAAGATCTACAATCTATCCTGAAAGATGATCCTTCACTCTCTCAGATCTTGGGAGACAGACCAGTCCTCGCTTACAGACAGTCCCCCAACCTGAAGCACATATTCACCAGCAACCACACAACAGAAACACTAACCCAGTAACCTATCCCTGCGACAAAGCCCGATGACAACTCTGTCCACATATCTATTCAAGTGACACCATCATAGGACCTAAACACATCAGCCACGCCATCAGGGGCTCATTCACCTGCACATCTACCAATGTGATATATACCATCATGTGCCAGCAATGCCCCTCTGCCATGTACATTGGCCAAACCGGACAGTCTCTACGCAAAATAATAAATGGACAGAAATCTGACATCAGGAATCATAACATTCAAAAACCAGTAGGAGAACACTTCAACCACTCTGGTCACTCAGTAACAGACTTAAAGGTGACAATTTTGCAACAGAAAAGGTTCAAAAACAGATTCCAATGAGAAACTGCTGAACTGGAATTAAATTGCAAACTAGATACCATTAACCTGGGCTTGAATAGAGACTGGGAGTGGCTGGGTCATTACACAAAGAGAACCTATTTCCCCATGTTAAGTGTCCTCACACCTTCTTGTCAAATGTCTAAATGGGCCATCTTGATTATCACTACAAAAGTTAAGGAGTACTTGTGGCACCTTAGAGACTAACCAATTTATTTGAGCATGAGCTTTCGTGAGCTACAGCTCACTTCATCGGATGCATACCGTGGAAACTGCAGTAGACATTATATACACACAGAGACCATGATACAATACCCCCTCATCCGATGAAGTGAGCTGTAGCTCACGAAAGCTCATGCTCAAATAAATTGGTTAGTCTCTAAGGTGCCACAAGTACTCCTTTTCTTTTTACAAGTACTCCTGTTCTTTTTGCAGATACAGACTAACACGGCTGCTACTCTGAAACCTGTAATTTTTAACAGTGACGGTAATTAACCATTGCAACAATTTACCAATATCATGGTGGATTCTCCATCACTGGCAATTTTTAAATGAAAATGTGATTTATAAAAAAAATTCTCTTGGATTTTTTTCAGGGACGTTCTATAGTCTGTGTTATACAAAGGGTCAGAAGAGATGATCATAATAGTCTCATCAAGCCTTGGTATCTGTGAACCTGGGAGTACATAGCATTGAAATTAGGAGGAGTTTATTTTGTATAAGCCTGATTCAGCATCAGGGAATAACCCCAGTCCAATGCCATAAATAAATAGTTTGTAACTTTTGTAAGTGTAGAAACCAGAGCAATGTCCAGTTCTAAAATGAGACTGTACTAGTAATAAATTATTAATCATAGAATCAACAATAGGATCCTAGACTGGTGACTTACTGCCTGCGAATTTCTTTTTTTCCTGTTTAAGAAAATACTAAAATAAATGAAAAAGGCCTGTATAGGTTTCAACTATTTTCTCCTTAATGCTCATTTCTAGATTAAAGTTTGGAGTTATTTTATTGTATATTTTATAGACTTTTGTGTAGCATTCATTGCCATAATATCTCTCAACCCATTAATGAACTTAGCCTCATTTAAAAAAAAACTATGAAATGAAATATTATTTTTCCATTTTTTTTTTAGCTGGTGGCACAGAGAGGTTGAGTGACTTGTGAAAAATTGCACATGAAGTGTGCAATAGAGCTGGAAGTAGAATCCCGGTCCCTTGATTTGCCTCATCCAGTGCCCAAGCCACAATACTGTCCTTTCTCTTTCAAGTATTTATTTTTTAATGTCCACCTTGAATTTGTTAATAAGCAGCTTGTGCTGTCACCAGAGGTCTATAGTCTCAGCATTTCCGGAGAGGGAATATATTTGTATTTCTTTAGTTTGTGGGGAGCATTTGGTTGGTTTGTTTGTGGCAACTGGAGGTGAGGTCATAAACTGAGCTGAAGCCTTTTATGGGCTCATAACTGACCCTGTGCCATTTGTGCACAGTTGGTTTTGCCGATTCATATGAGAAGCTCCTTGACTGGAAATGTCAAAGCAGCAGAAAATAAAATCAGCACTTTAAATTAGACAGTTGATACATTCTCTCTGAATAGCACTCGAGATGAATGACTTCTGCTCTAGGGAATGATAAAAGTCCTGGCCAATCAGTTAGCACATAGGCAACATTAAAATGCCTTTCATGTAAAGATGTTCGCAATGGGAGAACTACACAATGAACAGATTGCTCTTTCTTCTGCCTATGTCCTGAATTCAGTTACTAATTAGAGCACAGTTTTTCCATAAGGCAGGGGAACTGGTGTCTCTTTTGTAAGACACTTGATGATGGATGGCCTGAGGCTAGGGCCAGGTCTAGACCAGGAACACCTTGCTCCGACTACAAGTTTCAGCAAAGCATTCCTAGTGTGAATGCCATTTGCCAGCATAGCTTATTCCCTCCTTTTCCCCACAACCCCGAAGTGCAGGGGCTTCTGCCAGCATAGCTATATTGGCCAGGGATCACACCCCTGACTGACATTGTTATGCTGGTAAAAGTTTGCAATGTAGACGTGGCTTCTATCTGCATGATCAGCTGTACCCTTTCAGAAGACGGAAGCTATGGCATCACAACAGGGGTGTAGACAGAATAGGCATTAATTGAGATCTGTTATTTCCTTTCTCCAGCAGGACTTTTTTTGTAATGTTCATTAGTATACAACATGTACGCCCACATATAGTCAATAGCAGGATTAGGGCCTGAAGGCTCCATTTGGCTATGTAGGCATATCCCCAAGTTATCTCTGGGGAGCGGGTGGGCGGGGGGTAGAATTCCACCAGACTCTGGAATATTCTAATATGGGTCTCCCTCGGTCTCTCTTGTTGAAGCTGTTCCATTATTATGGAATATTAACATTATTATTAATAATATTATATTATTATTATTATTAATAATATTAACATTATTATTACATAATTATGTACTGGGCCAGAGAGCCAATGAGTGTGATTCTGTAGTCTAGAGGTTAGGGCACTCATCTGAGAGTGAAGAAACCCATCTTCAAATCTTTTCTCCCCATCAGGCAGAGCAGAGAATTGAGTGGGTGTTTCCAGCCTGCCTGGTGAGTTCCCTAATCACTGCGATACAGGTTGTAAGGGGAGAATCCACCTCCCTTTTGTGTGGAGTTAGGTGTGCTCTGATAACACCTACCAGAGCAGTAGGTAGGTGTTCACCTGGCTTGAGGCTAGTGCTGGGGCTTGAGCATGAGACGGCACTGAGGCATTGTGTGCATGCCCAGTGGCAGAAACGTAGGCACCTGGAGGACTTTTATTGTGAAAATGTAGGCACCTCCAAAGTTAGGTGGCAGCTGAGCATGGGGTTTTGAGGATCTCAGTGCTTTTGTGGATCTGAGCCTCAATGTCTAGAACTCAATATTCAGAACTGCTGGGATTTTAACTCTTTATTGCTTGATTCCCCATTCTGTGTTCTATGCAACAGAGCACACCACTGCCACCCAATATTGATCTACATGCTGTAAACATCCATGAACACATATGAACTTCATGTATGCCATGATGATTCACAGAATGGTCACCATGTGGTTAAGGGTGACAGCAAGGATAGAGTTCAGTTCCTTCTGTTCCAAAAGTGCAGGTCCCTCCCCAGAGGCTGCTCAAAACAATCTGCTACCCTAGGCAAAACTACAGTGTGCCACTCCTATCTGCTAGAACAGAGGTTCTCAGCTCAGATGGGGTGCATAGGGAGTTCATAGGGAGCCTGCTGATAGTTTGGTGGTCATGACAGAGGGGTGACCAGGCCAAATTTGTGTGAGTGCATTGTGCCCTTGCCACCCTAGACAGAATCTGCCTCCCTAGGCAGCGGCCTAGTTTGCCTGTAGGTAAAACAGCCCCTGTCCCTCCCAAGAGAATCTGTCAGCAGCATAGGCACTATGTGACACAGCTGAACAGTTCCGAGTGTGTTCAAACTTCCACTTGAGAAGCTTTCACAGAAATGCCAGGACCACGGCGAGCTCAACATCTTCACCTGTAGGTGGGGCTCCTGAAAAAATTGTCATGTCAGTGCTAAGTTGTGACATTTCCCTAGGTCATAACAGGCTCTAAAATGAATGCATTATAACTTTAAACAAAATCCTAACCATGTGTATTGCAGCTTGATCAGAATTAAAGGTCACCATTGTATTAGCCAGATGTTCCCTCTACAGCATTCTTTTGTGGTTCCTTTTCATTAGGTGTATTTTGCATGGGGTATGAATTTTCCTCTCAAGTAAGAGCTCTGTTAAAAATTGCCAATAACAGGAATGTGGTTTCAATGCAAGTCATGAAATCATATCAGCTTTAAAAAGGAAATTAAAAGTAATCCCCATCCCCAGTGAAATGATGACCACTGGTAGCTGCTGCTCCCATTGAAGTAAATTGTAAACTATCCACTGACTTCAATGGGAGTATACCCCATGGTATTAAAAGTCAGAAAATGATTGTGAATTTCTGAGTAGTCTTTGAAAATGCTTTGATCATAGTTGCAGAAAAAAATAAGAGGTAATTTCTGACAGTATGGTCTTTAAATAATAGGTCCTGAAAATTTATTTTAAAAACATTTTCTCCTTCCTTCTTTGTTCATAAGGGTTTTTTTAGTAACAAAGTCCACGATCCTGTAAATATGTAAACACTCGCATAACTTTAATTATATGAGTGGTTCCATTTTAACTGACTATACAGATGAAACCGTGAAACTGGCTATACACAAAATACTGTCAAAAATAAACAAACTGGAAAAAGAGGTTTTTCCTGCCACAAATTACTTCCCATTTTAGTAAGCATCGGTGTTACTTGTAACTATGTAGTAAGCATTGTCTTACAGAAATGGTATAGTTCCCTTTTAGCTTTCAATTTAAAAAAGTATGATAAAATATATCAGAATCTTAACTTTAGCTGTCTGTATTTGTAAGCTGCATTCTCCATTCAAAACTGCTTTAAAAACACATTTTGAAGTCCATGTTCTTCAATGGGAGCATGATCACACGTTTTTGCTATTCAGTGAAATACGATCAGTGATCTTTTCTTGCACTCATTGTATATACTCTCGAACTGCAAGTTCTTTTAGGGTAAACACTTTTATTTGGTCTCTTTTTGCCTTGCTCTCTTCCAGTTTCTCTTGCAAGGATAGAAAGTCTTTGCCTAGTTCATATGCCAAAGTGATCATTGTCTCTAGCAATGGAACATAATACCTGTGCCCACCATGCATCTGTAGGCAAAGTAAAGCCTTCTCTCCATATTCATAGGCACTTGCTGGGTTCTCTAGGTCTTTGTGACACACAACTAAAGCACAGAGTGTAGGGACTATTAAAACAGGGCTGTGTTTGGTTAATTTTTCCTGCAGAGCAATGACTTGCACAAGTATTTCCAAAGCTTTGGTATATTGGCCTCCCCTCAGACAGCCATAAGCTTCCTCCATCTCTGGTCTTATTAAGAAGTCGATAAATTTTTTGGATCTCCGGACACATTTCATAGAATACAGAAATCCCAGATAGTCCCTGAAGGCTAATTTTCTCTCAGTGATCATTTCCTCTGTGAAGTTTCCAGTTAGGCACTTTTTGGGAAAGGTCACATCTTCTATTTCTTCATTAAAGTCCTTCAAAAGATTTTTGTGCAGTTTTTCAAAATCTGAATATCGACGCTCAATTACAGATTTGTTGCCATCAAAACTGCCTGTCTGGATGATGATGATTTTATACAACTGGCAGGAAAAAAAAAAAAGCAAATAGCAAGAAATATTTAGTCTTGTTACATAAAACTGTAGTCTTGCTGAATGTTGACAAACATATTTTAAACTTGACTTTGGTTTTGTCTGTATTGGGATTTTGCCCTGATAGGACTGACACTGAGGCAGGTGCAAATGTAGACAAGGAAAGCCACAATTTGCACCAATGGAGTTTGTCCCTGCTTGAAAAAGCCTCTCTCAGCCCCCACTGCAAATTGCACCAATTGACACCTAATTGCGCTGATCTGCATTCTAGATGACTGTGTGCAGCACTGGTTCTGCTACATCAGTGACTAACCATCAATTGCTAGAGTTAGAGCACATTCCCAATATAAACAAGGTCTTTGAGATAGGTGTCCATTAAGTCAGTAATTCCTAACCACTACTGTTTCAGATTGTTGTGACTAATACTTAGTGTTTGCATGTAGCGCTCGCATATTGGGCACCTTAGGGGCTTGATTTCAGTAAGAAGGCACTCAGCACCTTGGGGTCCTTAATCTGGTAAATTAGCAAATTGCTTGTAAAGGTTTAGAAGGAGCCCTTTAAATAATTTATGGTTCATTCATATAACTGTACTCCTTAATAACACATATGGTTACTACAAACAATCATCCATAGCAACTGAATGGATTTCCCAGGCCTAATATTGAATTTAATATATTTTTCATTGGTTATAACTGTTAGAAATATTTGCATCAGATATTACTGGGCATTATTAATGCTCTGAAGGAAGAGGAGAGAGCTGGAGGGGACATTTGGTATATGCAAAAATGAGATGGAGCAACTGCAGAGAGATTTTTTTCTAAATCATTGTCCTATTATGCAAAGCCTACCACTTTATGTAAATACTGCAAGAGTGACTGCCACCTTTCTAAAACAATCTGTTTGCTATCCAAGATCCTTCAGCAGCCTCTAGCAGAAACACTTCTTATACAATAATTCACAATTTAATAGTATTCAAGAATAAATTTCCCTGAATTTTGCACTGACCTTGATAGCAAAATGAATTTAGTAAACATCACACACACACACACACACACACACCTCAGAGTTGCAAAACAAAATTTCGATGCTACATATTCTTCAAATAGATTTCCACCCAGGGCCTAATCCAAAACCCACTGAAGTTGAAGAAGTCTCCCATTAGGCTAGATCCTCCGCCTGTATACATCAATGTACTTCCATTGAAGTCAGTTGGGCTATGCCAATTTACACCAGCTGAATGGGTTTTGGATTGGGTCTAGACGTTACTCACATACAATCTCATCCTGTTCCCAGTGAATTAAATGGATTTAGGCCCACAGTTTGCTTAAGTCAAACTGCTCCTTTGTGGAAATGGGCATTAGATGTTACAAACCAATACTAGCATAAGAATCTCCCTCATTCTGTTATAAAATACATTCTCTGTCCTTTGATTTTAAGCCTGATAAATCATCAGTTTTAGCAAGCTTTCTGTAGCTTCCTAATGCTGAGGTGCCACTGCTCTGATCTCTTGTCATTCATTAACACTGTGACGTTTTCCTATACTCTGCCTTGCTCCCTGCTGATAATAAAGAACCTACTGGTTATGCAGATTCGTAACAACATTGCAAGAGAGCAAGAAAATTGCATAGAATGTAAAATGATGATTTAAGAAGTCTGACTACCAAGGGCAGCTGAGTGAATAATTCACAACAAACAATCTGTTAGATGACTTCATCCCTTATCCCCTCTTCCCTGGTTTAGGGAATGTCCATGAGCAAAAGAGGTGGTTTCCTCTAATAAAGACATTATTCAAATTTGTGCAGCAATTTTTTTAAGGTGAAAAATCTTTAAGTAGTTAGTGAGCTCTTGGAGCTAAGTTCTACAACCCTCACACACGCTATGTGGTACCTTTATTCCTTGAGCACTTTTATTGAAATCAGTGGGACTACTCAGGAAATCAGATATTGTTCAACCTGTGCAAGGGTAACAGAATCTAACTAGAACATGTAGAGCATGTAAACCTCCTTTGAAAATATAAGGTCATACCAGGCCAGACTCTGAAACCTTTACTCACATGCTAAATAGCACCTTATTCCAAGAGGAGTCCCGCTGGGATCACTACACCAGTGTGAATAATAATAATACATAGTTCTCAGCACTTTTCATCTGTTTACCTCACTTTACAGAGGAGGTAAATAGTAACCTGAGTCACAGAGTAACTCACCCACAGTCATCCAGCTAGTCAGTGGCAGAGCTGGGAATAGAACCCAGGTCTCCTGAGAGTTCAGCACAGCGAGTAAGAATATCAGAATCTGGCCCATTGGGTTGGTTTTCCCCTCTTGACATTCAAATGTTAGATGAAAGAGCAAATTGTTTACACTACTTGGAAAATGTGATTAATAAAAACATGGGGGTTTTTAGATATGATCAATAGGGGATTTTTTCCCTTACTGTTGATAAATAGATCTGAAATGTCACAACAGTGGAAATGCATGCTCATTCACTTGATATTGTCCCTGCCCCTCTCACTCATGCTTTAAAAAATAAATACTCTACTGCAGAACTGTGTGTGCAAGAGGATCCAGTCCAAAGCTGGTCTAGTTGTAGGAGTGGAACCTTAGGCTTTGTCTGCATATGGAAATGTGTACTTACACCAGTGCAAACCTCCAATTATAGGTATGTTATACAGCCACAATGTGAGGCTTACACCAGTGTAGCTTTGATGTGCTTGCACCAGTATGAATTTCCTACTCTAGGTCTTGTCTTAGTCTTAGATTTTAAACTCTTTGTGGGCAGGAACTGTCTCTTTCTTTTGTTTGTACAGCGCCTGGCTCATGACTGGGGGTGCTTCGTGCTACTAATACAAATAACAATAATGAAGACAAGGCCTACAAATTGCTAGCTCTGTTAATGTTTTTCCTCCCACTGATGCAGTCTTTATTATGAACTGCTTGTTGAAGGGCTTTTTTTAGGACAATATTCTGCCAACCATGCTTGCTTTAAGTACTATCTTACTCTAAGAGTAGGTACTACCCAATGTGAACAAAGGTTGCAAATAGGGTTGCCAACTTTCTAGTCACATAAAACCCAACAGTGTAGCCCCTTCCCTTCCCTGAGGCCCCTCTCCCCTTCCCTGCCCCTTCCCTGAGGCCCCACCCCCAACTCACTAAATTCCGCCTCCCTCGGTGGCTTGCTCTCCCCCACCCTCACTCACTTTCACTGGGCTGGGGCAGGGGGTTGGGGTGAAAGCTCTCACTGGGGGTGAGGGCTCTGGGATGGGGCCAGAAATGAGGGGCTCAGGGTGTGGGAGGGGGCTTCAGGCTGGGGCAGGGAGTTGGGGCATGGGAGGGGGTGAGGGCTCTGCCTCAGGGTGCAGGCTCTGGGGTGGGGCTGGGGATGAGGGGTTGGGGTGCAGGAGGGGGCTCCAGGCTGGGGGGGGTGGGACCAAGGAATTGGGAGTGTGGGAGGGGGCTGCAGGTTGAGGCAGGGGGTTAGGGTACGGGGGGGGGGTTGAGGGCTCTGGGGTGGGGATGGGGATGAGGGGTTCCAGGTGTGGGAGGGGGCTGTGGGCTGAGGCAGGGGGTTGGTGTGCAGGAGGGGTGCAGGCTCCGGGGTAGGGCCAGGGATGGGGGGTTTGGGGTGCAGGAAGGTGCTCTGGGTTGGCGGGGGCTCAGGGCTGGGGCAGGGGTTGGGGCTCAGAATTGTGGCGTGGGCTTACCGTGGGCAGCTCCTGGTCAGCGGCGCAGTGTGAGGGCTAAGGCAGGCTACCTGCCTATCAGGAGGCCAGGAGCCTCCAAGCACTGCTCTCACCCCCAGGCACTGCCTCCTCCCAGCTCCCACTGGCTGGGAACTGGCCAATGGGAGTGCGGAGCCAGTGCTCAGGGTGGGGGCAGCACATAGAGCCCTGTGGTCCCCCCGAGGCCCACACCTAGTAGCCAGACCTGCTGGCCACTTCTGGGGTGCAGTGCAGTGCCAGGACACGTAGGGACTAAGCCTGCCTTAACGGCCTAGTTGGCCATGCTGACCGGAGCTGCCAGGGTCCCTTTTTGAGCGGGTGTTCCAGTCGAAAACTGGACACCTGGTCACCCTAGTTGCAAAATTTGGCCCTGAGTGAGGCTTTCAGGTAAAGACCCATGCTGTCCAGACATCTGCAAAGTGAATGAAATTATGTTACAAATTCATTTATTAGCTTACCACATATTTAGATAAATACTGTTCTACGATTCTGGTTGATGGGATTTCAAAAAGGAGTTTGACTTGTCTACAGCGACGTTTCTCATTCCTCCAGTAGTCCTGAAGTTGCTTAGTTGTCATTGAAGAGCTGGGACTTGGGGATTTACTGGTATCTAAAACAATATGTTTAATATCTCATGTTGTAGCCAGTGCATCTGGGAAGAAAATCCGTCTACATTCACCAGGAAAGTGGAGAATTGAATTTCTGATACGATTTTGCATGAATAATGTGTATATCACTACCTTTAAGACTGATAAAGGCTAATAGGAACATCTAATTGTGAACACTGTTGCTCCGAAATTTGAAAGAAAATAAACTGATTACACAAAATTAAACTCATCCAGTCCACTGTAAAATATGAAGGCTTGTTAGTAAAATCCTGATGACAACAACTTTGCCTGAAGAAAACGTGGTGAAAAAAATATCCTACAAGCATATTGCAGAGCTAGGTTGTGAATTCACTATAGGTGAACAGGCTGCACTCTCTCAGGAGTAGCCACAGGGAGGTCACGACTCACACGTGCCTCTGAGTCACACTGTTGTCTTGTTTACTTCTTGCTGGGCCAGTGCGGGGGGTGGGGAAAGGCAGGGGAGAAAGGGAAGGGGTACTATATGGCTGACTCATATCTGCAGCAAATTCTGAAACCCCCTGCACCTCGTCACGTGCTCTGGGTTGATGACTAGGGGGGTGGGGTGAAGCCAAGACTCCTTCCATACTCTGCCCTTTCTTCAGCTCCAGGTAGCCAGTGCAGGAGCAAAAAGGGAGTTCTTACTGCCCCAACTCCTTTTTGTGTACACATGGTCCAAGCTACAATCTAGACCACAGTAGTTAGGTCATAACCAAAGCCAGAATATCATTTGTTGTAAATGTAAAAATGGGGTATAATAGGCTGGGAAGTTAACTTGCAGGGAAATTGGGACTAGATTTTAGCAATGAAAGATACTTCTCTGTCTTTGGAATCCAGTCCTGATAATTTTGCTCAGGTGAACTACAGCACAGCAGTGTGGACAACGTGGGACACCACTACAACTGCTGTTTTGTATGGGCATATCTTGACTTTCCATCACTGAAATTATTTGTCTAGACAACCTAGATCATTATGAGCAAATTATTCAGCATTGCAAACAATGGAAATGCATTGCCACAAATGGATAAGAAGGAAATCACTAAACATTTATATTTTTCACATTAAAATTGTAGGTGCCCAGAAAGGCCCTTACATAGCTGGATTTGTTTTAACCTGCTATTTAGGTTAAAATACCATTAAAACGAGTTTCACTTCCTCAGGGTTTGGCCCAGTCTTTCCTAAATGTATGGTTTTAAGAAAGGTGTGCTGTTCATAACAGCATTACAGAAAGAAACATGAATAGTCAGTTTTCCTTTAAATAAAACCCATACCTTTAAAAAATTACCAGTAAATGTATTTGCACAATTGACAGCATTGGAGTGCTTACCCATTGGACAAGTTCAGTGCAAAACTTCCCACACACCATACCACAGCGAGCCTTCACCCTGGCCTGAAGAGACTACCACTGGAATGGAAGTGGTCATTCACTTTTCATTCCTGTTCTCTCCTTGGTCTCTGTGCAATGTGATGGCACATTTTTGTGGTGTATGTGAGAACTAAACTGAGAGCACTAATTTATTTCATTTCGGCCACCTAAGAGTCACCAGATGGTAACTAACTTTGATCACTCCTGTGTAGCTTAGAACGGAGTAAGTTTTTGAAGAAGACTTTTGAAAGGAAAAGTTTGTGTTTCTCAGAGAGAGAGAGAGAGAGAGAGAGAGAGAGAAAGCGCCTGATTTGCCGTTGCTTTACTCCTGTGTAGCTCCAAGTTCAGTAGAATGATGCCAATGTAAAACTGGAGTAATGCAGGAGTGAATTAAGTACACTGTTTGTAACTCATGAGACACATAGCACTGATAGCTCCATGAAAAATAAGTAGAATGAATGGTGGGGCCTAACCTGAGAGAGCAGCAGTTTCTGGGTTGTCATTGTTCACTTGAAATGAAATTTCAGCTTCGGTTTCATTTTGTTCTTCATCTGACTGAGCGGCTGCAGAATACGTAGATATGTCTGTTACCCACTCCCGCTGACCTCCTTCTGCGGTGTGGTGCTGGTCTCTGTCCATTGCAAAGCTGTCGCAGGAGGAATACAAAATCATGCACTTCTCATCATCAGACATATTAAGAGCTTTAAAAGTCTCCCAAAGTCTATTCTAGATATTGTTTATTTCACTGAGTTAGGGCTTGATCTGACTCCCACTGAGATAAATAAAAAGTCAGTGGGCCGCAGCTTACAGAGCTGCGAATTCCTCAACACCTATGTGCTTTGACAAAGTTAAAGAAACAGACATTGTATACAAATATCCATAAGGGATAGCAATAAAGGAATGCTGCAGCTGCCAGTAAGATTTCTGGTACCTACATGGTCATTTTGTCAGGAATTAAGATCAGACAGACAAAAGCAAGAATTTATGCCTGTCATAAATATAAAGGGAAGGGTAAACCCCTTTGAAATCCCTCCTGGCCAGGGGAAAGCTCCTCTCACCTGTAAAGGGTTAAGAAGCTAAAGGTAACCTCGCTGGCACCTGACCAAAATGACCAATGAGGAGACAAGATACTTTCAAAAGCTGGGAGGAGGGAGAGAAACAAAGGGTCTGTGTCTGTCTGTAGTCGTCTTGGCCGGGGATAGACCAGGAATGGAGTCTTAGAACTTTTAGTAAGTAATCTAGCTAGGTATGTGTTAGATTATGATTTCTTTAAATGGCTGAGAAAAGCATTGTGCTGAATAGAATAACTATTTCTGTCTGTGTATCTTTTTTGTAACTTAAGGTTTTGCCTAGAGGGGTTCTCTATGTTTTTGAATCTAATTACCCTGTAAGATATCTACCATCCTGATTTTACAGGGGGGATTTCTTTATTTCTATTTACTTCTATTTTTTATTAAAAGTCTTCTTGTAAAAAACTGAATGCTTTTTCATTGTTCTCAGATCCAAGGGTTTGTGTCTGTGTTCACCTATGCAAATTGGTGAGGCTTTTTATCCAACATTTCCCAGGAAAGGGGGGGTGCAAGTGTTGGGAGGATTGTTCATTGTTCTTAAGATCCAAGGGTCTGGGTCTGTAGTCACCTAGGCAAATTGGTGAGGCTTTTTACCAAACCTTGTCCAGGAAGTGGGGTGCAGGGTTTTGGGAAGTATTTTGGGGGGAAAGACGCGTCCAAACAGCTCTTCCCCAGTAACCAGTATTAGTTTGGTGGTGGTAGCAGCCAGTCCAAGGACAACGGGGGGAATATTTTGTACCTTGGAGAAGTTTTGACCTAAGCTGGTAAAGATAAGCTTAGGAGGTTTTTTTCATGCAGGTCCCCACATCTGTACCCTAGAGTTCAGAGTGGGGGAGGAACTTTGACAATGCCAAATAAAATTCTTGTGCCAAATAAAATGTGTATTTAAGGTGAAATCCTGAATCGGATGTCAATGGGATGTTTGCCGTTGGGGCCAGGCTTTCACCTCTTGTATTTTGCCTCAAAGTTTTCTGGACTTGGCCACAGATTAGTTGTTGACGGGAACAAATTCTGGAAGCCCTTAAGTGAAAGAGCCAAACTGCTGGAGAGTTTACCCCCCCAAGATTTAATAGTCCTAGCTGCATAGGCAATAGCTCAGGCTAGCTGCCCAAATACATTGAATCACATCTGAAAGCTTAGGTATCTGGGCAAACTCCTGCCTTGCCACCACAGCAACACTGCTGGTTTTTAGCTCAGTCAGTCCATGTGAATGTCGACCTGAATTGGAAGTTACCCCTCCTGCTGCATTGGAGATGAACCCCTGAATCTGTCAATAGCTAGGCAGGTGAAATTACTAAGTTTTCTATTTATTATGTAATAGCATGTTCCTCCTGTCCCCATTGCTTGTCTGTTTCAGCTACTTGCTGAGTCTTGTCACAGTCTAGATTTGTAAACTCTCTGGGGTGGGGCTTGGGTTTTGTTTGTGTGTGTGTTTTAAACTATACGTTTGTATAGAGCTTATTATAATAGGGCCTTAGCTCCCATATGGCAGTACTGCAATACAGCTCCCTAACTGGGACCTATAGGCACTACTATAATATAAATAACTATTTATAATAGCATTGTGAAGAAAGAGTTTTAAAAACTTGTAACAACTTTGTCAATGATTGGTGTTTGATCAGTTATGTGAGATGAACTTTTTTGCTCACAGTTTGGCTAAAAAAGACGGAAAGACAAATAATATAGGTTACTTTAAAAAGTCACAGCTCCCATTCCTGCAGTAAAACAAAATATTAGTGAAAGATGTTATTAAGAGTGAACTGGTGCAGTATGTTTAGGAAGTGGGAGCTACTCAAGACTGCTTGGTTCTCACTTCTGCATCATTTAGGGATCTTTGTGTACAATCATGCAATGTTGTACTTAGAGGTGGGGGAATTCCTTCATGGCCTCTCTTGCAGTCTATTGTGTCAGTAGACATTTACAAGGTTGCAAAAGCACTTACTTTAACCCCGCCCTGACAGTAAGGCGGAGCAGAATTGAAGAGAATGCAGCTTCCCCAGCTCTACTGAAAGTGCGGAGGGAGAGCTGCCTCTGCTCCCTGGCTTGGGCAAGCAGCATTCCACAAAACTCTCCCTTCTCCTTGGCAGGGACCTGATTCCAAGTCCATTGGCTTAAAAAAGGTTTGGATCAAGCCCCTGATGCAGTGAGAGGTGCAGTCACAAAAGTGAAATACCTGCGAACTTCATGGAAACTTTTAAAAAACACCATAATAGAGGCTCAAACTAAATGTAAACCCCAAGTTAAAAACCATTGTAAGAGGACAAAAAAAAGTGCCAGCAGCGCTAAATAACAAAGTATAAAAGAAGTGGTTAGAGGCAAAAAGGCATCTTTTAAAAACTGTAAGTAAAATCCTACCGAGGAAAAAAAGAAAGGAGCACAAACTCTGACAAGTCAAGTGTAAAGGTATAATTAGGCAGGTCAAACAGAATTTGAAGAGCAACTAGCCAAAGACTCAAAAACTAACAGCAATTTTTTTTTAAGTACATCAGAAGCAGGAAGCCTGCCAAACAACCAGTGGGGCCACTGGATGATTGAAATGCTAAAGGAGCACCCAAGGAAGATAAGGCCATGGTAGAGAAGCTAAATGAATTCTTTGCATTGGTCTTCACTACAGAGAGCATAAGAGAGATTCCCACAACGAAGCCATTATTTTTAAGTGATAAATCTGAGGAACTGTCCCAGATTGAGATGTCAACAGAGGAGATTTTGGAACAAATGTATAAATTAAACAGCAATAAGTCACCAGGACCAGATGGTATTCACCCAAGGGTTCTGAAGTTCAAATATGAAATTGCAGAACTACTAACTGTAGTATGTAACCTATCATTTAAATCAGCTTCTGTACCAGATGACTGGAGGATAGCTAATGTGATGCCAATTTTTTAAAAAGGCTCTAGAGAGGATCCTGGCAATTACAGGTTGGTAAGCCTGACTTCAGTACTGGGCAAACTGGTTGAAAGTATAGTAAAGAACAGAATTATCAGATACATAGATGAACATGATTTGTTGGGGAACAGTCAACACGGCTTTTGTAAAGGGAAATCATGCCTCACCAAACTATTAGAATTCTCTGAGGGGGGTCAACAAACATGGACAAGGATGATCAGGTGGATATAGTATACTTGGATTTCAGAAAACCTTTGACGAGGTCCCTCACCAAAGGCTATTAAGCAAAGTAAGCAGATAAGAGGGAAGGTCCTTTCATGGATCAGTAACTGGTTAAAACACAGAAAACAAAGGATAGGACTAAATGGCCAGTTTTCAGAATGGAGAGAGGTAAATAGTGGTGTCTCCCAGGATTCTGCATGGGGACCAGTGCTGTTCAACATATTCATAAATGATCTGAAAAAAGGGATAAACAGTGAGGTGACAAAATCTGCAGATGATACAAAATTACTCAATATAGTTAAGTCCAAAGCAAACTGAGAAGAGTTACAAAGATATCTTACAACACTGGGTGACTGGGTGACAAAATGGCAGACGAAATTCAATGTTGATAAATGCAAAGTAATGCACATTGGAAAACATAATCTCAACTATACATACAAAATGATTGGGTCTAAATTAGCTGTTATCACCCAAGAAAGAGATATTGGAGTCACTGTGAATAGTACACTGAAAACATCTGCTCAATGTACAGCGGTAATCAAAAAAGCTAACAGAATGTTAGGAACCTGTAGGAAAGGAAAGACAGAAATATCATAATGCCACTATATAAATCCATGGTATGGCCACACCTTGAACACTGCATGCAGTTCGGGTCACCCCATCTCAAAAAAGATATATTAGAATTGCAAAAGGTTCAGAGGAGGGCAACAAAAATGATTAAGGGGGTAGAACAGCTTCCATATGAGGAGAGATTGAAAAGACTGGGACTTTTCAGCTTGGAAAAGAGACAACTAAGAGGGCATATGATAGATGACTATAAAGTCATGAATGGTGTGGAGAAAGTGAATATAGAAAATTTATTTACCCCTTCACATAACACAAGAACCAGGACTCACCCAATTAATAGACAGCAGGTTTAAAACAAACAAAAGCAAGTTCTTCTTCACACAATGCACAATCAACCTGTGGAACTCCTTGCCAGCAGATGTTGTGAAGGCCAAAACTATAACAGGGTTCAAAAAATAACTAAATAAATTCATGGAGGATAGGTCCATCAATGGCTATTAGCCAAGATGGGCAGGGATGCAACCTCATGCTACGAATGTACCTAGCCTCTGATTGCCAAAAGCTGGGACTGAATGACAGGGGATGAATCACTCAACGACTGTCTGTTCTGTTCATTCCCTCTGAAGCACCTGGCATTGGCCACTGTTGGAAGACAGGATATTGGGCTAGGTGGATCAATGGTCTGATCAGTATGGCTATTCTTATGTTCTATGAATGTTTTCACTGCTCTTTCAGTCTTTGTGAACCACTGCTCATTGCACATTCAGAATAGCCAGTTATTTAATGTTCAGTTAGTCAACCAGTTTGATTTATTACATTGAAATCCCAGAGAAACAAGTTCATTTTATAGACTATATACTTGAAAAACCTTACTTTTTAAAAATGGGAATGTGACAATAAGAATCACAAAAAAGCAGATTAAATTATAAAACTTACCTTAAACACCTGTAAACTAAAAAATGGCTGATCAAATTTAAACTAGATATTCCTCCTGAGCTGCAAGTTTTGATGAGCTACAGCAGAGTGATATTTATGTTCAAGATATAAACCTCTGAAAATATAATTGTATAATGGAAATGCTGACATGCTCATAAATATAATGGTTCTAAAGGTGCCACCCTGGTGATTAAATAGGCCCAAACTTCATTGTTCATTGTATTCAGAAGTATAGTACTACATATATATATATATATATATATGAAGGAATAGTCTATCATTGTAACATACAAAAATTAATCTGAATTATTTTAACTAATTATTAAACTGCTATTTACCTTAACATCTAAAAGCACAATGAAGTGAAATCTGCACTATCATGCACAAAGAGAGTCTGTTGCTTTGAACAGGTTGTTCCATGGTAATATTTATACTGAAAAATACCATTCAAAGTTATTTAATTGAATGCTTATTAATATTATAAAATATAACACACAAAATACAGACCTTTGAGCTTCTGAAGAGTTTTCAAGGGTGATGAGATTGCAATGGGAGCCTTGCTTTTTATTTTCAGAACACAGAAAAACATGTCTGTTGTCTTGCAGCAGACAAGTTCTTTATTTTTACAAAAAGGAAGGAGGAAGTCTTGCTTAAATCTGACTTCCTCATTCAGCTGGTTTGTTGCTTTAGTGGGTGGTTACCTCAAAATGAAAATGGCTATCTGCCTTAAGTCGTTTTTCATATAGTTTACAAGCAGGATAAACCTAATCCCGTTCCCATTGTTATACTCTTTTTAAAAATTTTTTTTTTAACAACACTGCAAGTTACAGATAATGCCAACTTTAACTTGGATTGTCTTGGTTTCTGTCACAAGTCTAACTCTTTTAAAGTTAGATGGGTATGTATTTGCTTACATTGTGAACAGACAACCATGGGTGAAATCCTTGACTTCAATGGAGACAAGATTTTTTCACTCATGATGATAATATACAGCTATATGAGAATTTCAAATTTTAAATCTGCCAGTTTATGTGTAGCCATATTATTTTATGGTCCTCAAGGGTCTGAATACTCTTTGGTCTTGCTAAAGAAAAGTGGCAAAGAATCTCTTTCAGCATTTTAAGACCTATGTGCTCAGTTATTTCAAGAGAAGGAACTCCAAATATAATACCCTGCAGAAATATAAGCACATTGTTATTACCAGCATTGTTCATTGACTCTAAAAATAATTTTTCAAACTTTGACTTGATTACTAAAACCTGTCAAAATGATAATTAGCAATCTCATAAAATTAACAACAATAAAATTGGCATATCAATGAAACTCTGAATATCAACAGAATAAATATGTAATAATATGTCTCTTTATATCCCCAGTTTCATTTAAATAATCAAATGAAGCATGAGAAATGGATTTAAGAGCACAAAAATAGATTATACAGGTTCTCTCTAAATGTGAATTTTTTTTAAAGTTTAAGCAAGTTTAGCTGTTTGGGAGTACGAGGAGCGTGTGGGGGCGGGAGGAACCCTTTTCTTATTGTAAAAAAAATATAATTCTTGCAACCTGTATTGAGTGGTACATTGAGTGTTCTGGTGAAACATTGGTTTTGATTTTTCACATGCAGAACAATAGTGCAATTTTGATAGTGGTAGCACACATTCTGAGGGAAGAAAAGATTTTCTAAAAGGTTAATTTAGCTGACTCCTTAAAAATTATGGAAAGTTAGTAGTGATTGATGCCTGGATCCACATGCACTGGCTCATTCATCATGCATTTTGTATGAAATACTTCCATTCACTTCATTTGTCTGGCATATACCGATTAGTGCACACTACTAAAAGATGATACAGGTGTACCTAGGGCTATAGAAATAATTGTGATGTTATATTGTATTATTGGACAAATGGTATGTTTCTAGTCCTATGTCCATATGACTTTCAGCACATAAAAATAGTGTCCCTAGGAGATGTCAAGACTGTATCGCGCAGTTCAGCTTGCTGGAAGGAATGTGGTATTCATTTTAGGGAGAAAAACCTGACAGTTCCAGTGAGGGAGGCTTGGGGGTATCAGCTGCTATGTTGACTGCTGTATTCAAGCATGTGCACATTAGAGATCATGTTATTCATAGATTATAAGGCCCAAAGGCCCACTGTGGTCATGTAGTCTGACCTCTAGTGTAACACAGACCACAGGGCTTCCCTGAACTAATCCTGTTTGAATTAAGGCATATTTTTGAGAAAAAATCTAGTCTTGATTTAAACTTTCCAGTGATGGAGAATCCATCCCAACCCTTAGTAAGTTGTTTCAATGGAAAATTGCCCTCACTCTTAAAAAAAAAATCTGTTCCATATTCTGCTATTGTCCACTGGGGATAGTAAGAACAAAAATCTTATTTGGCCATCTGACATTTGTCCATTCAGATTCAAATTCATAAAAATATTTAAATATAGAATACACAGTGTAGTGGGTGCCAGCTTGTCTCAGACAAGTCTCAGACAAGCAGCTTGTACATTTTGTGAAGACACTAGTTTTCTGAAAATGTTATCTTCCTGTAATGAGCATAGCAAGTTAACATTGTGCTAATATTTTGAGGATCCTGACATGTTAATTATCCTGTTTACTGGAGCCATGTCCATGTCTCAGTCAATTCATGGCTGTGATATTTGTATTACCAAACAGTACTCACTCCGTTCCCTTTCTTAGCAAACATGACTTGAGTGTCCATTGTTTTTTTTTCTTTTATGGCTCAAACTGTGTAACTAATCCTTGTTTATCAATATCATGATTCATTCGACACTGAGTGACAGAAAAATCAAGAAGAGGCAGAAATGCCCAACACATTTATCTGAAGCCCTTTTAAAATCACATTACTGATATCTAAATAGTGTGGTACTGTCACCTTACATGTTTCCCCCAGAAATCTGCCTTTTTGGTTTTTTTTTAATGCAGCAAGGTATCTGACGAAACAGAAAAGTTCAGCTGCTGTACATTGATTAAATTGTGACAAGTGTGTGTCAAACTACAATGCCAATACAGAACAAAAAATGACTTCATATTAACTTGTATAATGTTTAAATGTATAATATTGTTTAATTTGAAACTGAGATTTGTTTTGCCTCAGTTAATATTGTAAAAGAAACAGTGTAGTCTGCTTCCTTTCATCAAGAATGTGATTCATAAAATTTATTTACACACCTTGATGGAAAGTGTGTGCTTGTGTCAATGTTAAAACAAAGGTGGGGCCTTTAAAGTGGGATTAATTTAATAATGTACTCACTTTAAGGCCCACTTACTCTGCCAGAGTGATATAAAGGGGCCTTAATGTTCTGTAAAATAACAATCAGGCGCCTTGTTCCTTCTGTGATTTTTTCATAAAAGTACAGCTAAAATTTATGATCTTTAAATCTGTGTGATAGAAGTCATTAAATTTAGCTTGAGTAGTGAGGCTATTCTATATACAGAAAGTAGATTTGCTAAATGAAATAATGTAGTCATTTCCCTCCCAAAATACCTGAAAGGATCAGTCCATAATGTAGTTGGACTACAAATTTATTTTCAAAATATTCAATTTGTTTTTGAATTACTGAAGTACAGATGGGAAAGGCAATCACTCCTAATATTTTAGATGGTTCATTCTTATAACTTTAACAAACAATCCAATTTTATTTTCAAATGTGATTAAGATATACTCGGATTAAGATTTATATGCCAAATTCCCAGTATAATGTATTTATTGGCAAGTTATAAACCCCATGAAATTTGGGATAATAGGATTTATAATGGACATAGTGATGCATTCTATAGCAACACAAAGGGAGCCCTAATAATGAAGGAAAATGCTGTTGCTTTGTATAGATAGCCATCTTGAGCATTAACAGAGTATAACTTGGTGTTATTATGTGCTTTTAGCTTGCAAAATGAAGGAAACATACTGCACAAATCTTATTATTTTTTCAGCACTGTCTATTTTTGATAAAGTAAATATGACTTTAAAGTGCAATTTTACTCTAAAAAGTGATTGTGTAAAATGATACTGTGGTGAGGTTGTATATTCATTGTGTCTCACTAATTACATAACAAATTTTATCCGTTTGTAAGGAAAACATATTTTTCCTTACAAGCAGTCAACCCAACTCACCTTGGATTCTGACATTCAGACTGAATTTAGTCCATCTCACACATCATCACAATAACCGAGGGTCCTTACTTGTGCCCTCTCTCCATTTTACCTGAAGGTGGGCATTTTTCAGTCCATAACGTTTACCACAGTTATGTTCTCAAGTCGTGATTCTGGCTGCAGCTGAGCTTTTTGTTGCTTGTGTGTTAATTTTGCATCTACTGGGTTCTGGAGACCTGTGAGGACCAGTACAGTAAGTACTCGGCATAAACTAGGAAAGCCCCAAGGATTTTTTAAATTAATGCTGTGTTGCAACAATTGCTAAATTACATTAAAAAAACACATTAAAAGAACATTAAGGATGCAAAGTCAAGCTCTGAAAAATTAGGAAATACCAGATTTAAGGTTCCCTGTGAAATCTTAATTTGAATTCCTTCTGCACGTGCATTATGATACAGTCTTTAATTACAGCTTTCTATGCTTATTGGGAGCTCACTGCTGGAAGCACAAGCTTCAGAAAGGGCAAATGTTTTATATGATTTAAAGGAAAACAATTATTTAAGTCACTGGTTAAAAACAGTCTTATATGCCTAAAAGGATGAACCATAAATCTGCCTAAAAATAAATGCCATGGTCCAGAAACCCAAAATAAATAATGAATGAGAGAAAATATTTGCTTATATATAGATATACACACACACACACATAAATAAAAAGAGGGTCAGTTAAACAGCTGCTAAGTTTGGATTTTAATACATTCATGTATATGGTAATCTTATTTTGTACTACTACTTTTCACTTTCCTAAGAGTCTGAAGCATTTTTAAACTGGATATTAAGATTAGAGGAAGTTTAATGTTCACACAAAGATGTGTGTAAGTAACTGTGCCACAAAGTCTTCGCTACTGAATATCCCATGAAGCACTCTTTAAAATAATTATCCTGTGAGTTCTGACTGACAATGCTATAGATTGCGGAAAAGTTTTATTTCATATTTGTATTAATTTAAATAGGTTTATAATAGTATTATTATAATGACTGACTGGCATTGACTTCTAAAGGGAACATTAGTGGTTAATTGAAAGCATGCAGTTAACTGTTAACATGGAAAAATTTTGACTGGAAAACCTTTTTGTTATAAAGCATTGAAAATTCTGCTCAAGACTTCTTTTTAAAAGTGCTGTATGTCTTTGAAGTAGCAAATGTGCTAACTGATGCAAGAGTGGCCGTGAATTTACTTACCAGAAGAAAAAATTACAAGATATCAAGTGGATTTATTTAACTAATGTACAGGTGCCAAATAATGTATTGACCACACATATGCTGTATAATTAAAGTGTTATCCTGCCAAAATATTTTGTCAGGGCCCAATTCAAAGCTCACTCATTCAACAGGAGTCTTTCCAATGATCTTCGATTCAGGCTCTTAAATCCCCAGTTATGCTGACTGTAGGTAATCTAGCATACAATATTAATTGGATTCTTCACAAGG